ATAATAAATGTAATATTTAACTGCATGTGTGGAGGCGCAGTGGCCTCACAGTTGGTGCGCTCGACTCTGGAATGAGTGGTCTGGGTTCGAGCCCCAGCCGGGACATTGTGTTGTGTTCTTAGGTAAGACACTTTACTCTCACGGTGCCTCTCTTCACCCAGGTGTATAAATGGGGTACCGGCAATTTAATGCTGGGGGTAACCCTGCGATGCACTGGCATCCCATCCAGAGGGGAGTAGAAATACTCCTAGTCGCTTCATGCTACAGAAACCGGAGTTAAGCATCGGCCTAATGGGTCACTAGGCTTGTAAACAGACTTCACCTACATCGCTAATTATACGGTTAAGTTCCTTTTATGGCTTAAACAGGCATAGTACTCTGCCTCACAGAATAACAAAGCTTTTAAATTTCCTAGACTTACCGTTGGTCTGTGTCGCTGGCGGTTTTCAATGTTTGATCTTAAAACCAAAAGAAATTGGTGTAATGTATTCACAATTGTGCTCTGCTCCGAGGAGCAGTTTTTTTGTTTTTGTTTTTGTTTTTTTTTTCTTTTTTCGGCCCGTGACACAAGCAGTAAAGCACACGTCTCGCATGCACGCTCGCTCCATTCTCGCGAGCTGAAATATGGCGATTCTGGAAAGGACGTGCATCACAGAAGATATTTCACATTATTTTTAGTCGTTTTACACTCTGTACAGCTTTTGTTTGTCGTCATGAACTAGCTTTCCTTTAACTGTCATATTTCTACGAACGTAACTCACTTCCCCCTCGCTTTTTTATTTTTTTCTGTAAATATAGAAAGAGATGCCTTTGACGCGCTTTTTGACAATGCCCCTGAAAAGCTGAATGTTGTGAAAAAGGTATTTCATGTGATAATACTATGTACAGTTCAATCCAGGTTAAAGATTCCAATGAGCATATTAGTTTCCACATTGGCAGAGCAAAAAGATTGCTTCTGTGAATATCAGTGAAATAAGGTATTGATTAGAGTCAAGTCAGTTCGCAGACGATCACGTAACAATGTTGACTGGTGCCCACGAGTTCAAATCATTTCCTGAGCAGACAATGATTTATGTAATTGTAGGAATTGCAGTGGCGAGAATAAGTTAAAAATTAAATACTCATTGCTTCTGAGGTTGTCTAAGTCGAATGGGTTAATTAAAGTGTTTAGGTAACAGGTATATAATTTTTTTTTCTTTTGTCCATGATTAATGTTACATGCGCTTGATACACGGTGACCTATTGATCTGTGAGCTCGACCCCGGGTCGAGAGGTCTGGGCTCTAAGCTTGGTTGTGTTCTTGGGGGGAACACTTTTCTTTCACAGTGCGTCTCTCCTTACAGGGTCCAGTTGTTCGAAGGCCAATTAGCTCTAACCCAAGGAGAAATTTTTAATCCAGGTTTCTTTATTCCTTGTTCTAAAGCCTATTTGGAATAATTGTGCCCTATTCATTATTGAGCATTCAATCGTCAACTCGTTCCCAAAAAGAATCCTACTGAAGTCTCTCTCTCAAAGCTTTCAGATCTGAAATATACCGCCGCCCAGTTAGCTCAATGGATAGTGTGCTGGACTATTGTGCGGGAGGTCGAGGGTTCGATTCCCGGCCGGACCAACACTCAAGGTCTTAAAATAATTGAGAAGAATTTGCTACCTTTCTATAACATCAAGAAATGGTTAGATATTCTAGTCTTCTCGGATAGGGACGAATAAATGGAGGTCCCGTCTCCTGCAGGGTTGGGGGTAGGAGACGTTAATTTCCCACACACGAGATTACTGTGTGATGGATGTCCTCCCCTGGGGTGGAATGGGTGGGTTTACTGGGCCCGCAGTAATTGGCGCTAGCTGTTGCGGTGTTCCTGCTGGTCGGCGAAGCTAATAAACCAAACTGAAATCAGATTTCACACTTATCTTGGGTTATCTTAACCCTGCTTTGAAGAACCCGGCCCAGAAGTTTAAAGGGATACTGGTGATTTGTCAGGGAAGCCAGATGAAATGGGGGACGGGGGAAGCGAGGGGAAAGAGTAACTTTGCAATGGACTGGCATTTCATCCAGGGAGTGATCAGTAATACTTCCAGTCGCTTCATGCTCCATGGAAACCTCTGCTCCGGCTGGATGGGCCACTTGGCTCGAATACAGACTTAACCTTAATGGGAAATGCAAGTCTCGGTCAAAATGAAACTTTCGTTTCTTGATTTTGTTTTGGTTTTTTTCTGTGGCAGTCCTTGCAGGTCTTTGTCAACAAGCACCTGGCAAAGTTGAGTCTAGAGGTTGCTGAGGTTGATTCACAGGTGGCTATACATTTTTGTGTGGTTGAAGGGTGCATAACTCAAGCTTAAGTTTTTAAATAATGTTAAAAGAAAATTGCATTTTCAGGGACCAGGGGATTCAGCAAAAGCAGGGTACCGCCGCATGTTTTACCTCGTCGCTGTCTGATTAGCTTGCGAGGAGGTTCTCGTGTTCGAGTTTCGCCTTGCAGTCCCTTTCCGGGCTTCTTACATCCTCGGTAGCCGCTGAGGGAGAAAGTTTTTGGAACCCCTGGGAGACCCTCTTTCTGCCGCTAAGGGAAAAGGTATTGAAACCCCTGGGGGACCCTTTCTCTGTCGGTAACAGAAAAAAGTTTTTGAAACACCTGGGGACCCTCTTTCTGCCGCTAAGAGAAGAGGGTCTTGAAACCCCTGGGGGACACTCTTTCTGCTGCTGAGGGAAAAAGATATTGAAACCCCAGGGGGACCCTCTCTATGTCACTAAGCGGCAAACTTGTTGAAACCCCTGGGGAACCCTCTTTCTACGAGAGCATGAAGTTGATTTGCTCAGAGAAACTATTGTGTGAGTATTGTTGCAGCCTTCTTTACAAATGAAAAAGTTAATAATTTGATAAATGATGACAATAATTTAGTTTCATCTCGAAACAACTCTGATTGGTCTTGTTATGTTCGCAGTTTCACGATGGCGTCTACCTCATCTTCTTGCTGGGACTTCTAGAAGGCTTCTTTGTTCCTCTCTATCAGTTTTATATCACTCCTACCACCAAAGATCAGAAGGTACCGACAGAGCTATTATCGTAGCCTGCAGAACAGACGTAATTTTGGCGAGCGGGTGCTTAGTATTTTCTTAGCGAAAATTATGACCGCCAAATTTGACTTTGATGGAAGCGGAAGGCTGGGGAGAGAGAGAAATTTGTACTAAGGGGCTGAGCGACAGTTAAAAAAAATGGGAACGGGGTGAGTGTGGGGGGGGAGGGCGCCCGCTACTTCCTACCGTCGACTTTTACTCAAAATTAAACATGGCCGGTTGAATAAACAATAGCGCGCCTCTTAACGTTAACTCGGCCTACTAAGATGCCAGTACTGCAAGCTACTTTTATCCAGAACGCATAAAAGTTACTGAAAACAGAATTAAAATAATTAGCTGAATTCTACGCGAATTTTAATAGGTTCTCACTCATGATCAATTCAAGGATAAACGCATAATGACCAATTCTGTACAATTCTTGTTTTTTTTTTTTTTTTCGCTTCTTCATCACATAAAACAGAGACTCCACGTTGCGGGGTAACTGTTTAGCAACAGACCACAGATGACGCCACACGATGTCACTGATGCTCTCACAACATTTTCACTTCATTCGTGATCGTTTACCCTACAACTCCACTCCAAGACAACATGGAATCTATTTGGATATTTTTGTTTTGTTTTTATCCACAGCTTCATAATGTAACCTTAGCTATCGACCTGATGAGAGACAGTGGATTAAAGTTCTACGCAAAGCCTGACGGTATATAAAAATTGTAAAACACTTTGCAGAAGCCAACTGTCAAATATAGTAACCACTTCCTGCCCCCCCCTTCCCACCCCCATTTCCCCCATCCCTGATTATTTTCAGTCATAGTTTTCTACCCTTAAGCTCTTACACTTTCACATCAGTATGCATATTCTCCATACTGTTGTCTGTGCATTTCCTAAGGTGCTGACGAGGAGAATTTGTTTAATAATCAAGAGCTCCTTCAGTTGGTGATCATTTACTTAATTCTCATTACCCCAATGTGTGATTCAGGGGTGATATTGTAAGGAGAAATTAAGTGCTGGTCAATCTTAGTTTTCAAGGATTAACGCTTAACTGTATTTATCTACTTTCAGATGTCGTTCAAAAGGATCTTAAGTCCACTTTAAGAATCCTTTACTGCTTGTTCCAAAAGTTCAAGAGCCTCAAGTAGTTTAGACGTTAATTGACCGTTTGTAAAACAAAATTGCAACGAGAAATAAGACTCTAACCTTCTCCTTTTCGTTGATATTTATCCCTTATCTGAGTAGGCTAGATTAAACAACCACTCTGCTAATTACCTTTCAAGACCAAATTCTTCCGAAATCTCTCTTTGGTTTGGAAGAAGACGTCAAATTAGTTATTTGTGAAAAACAAACAAACGAGCAAACAGCCATTTGCACGTGAAAACGTAAACAGACAACAAAACTATGGGGGACAAAATTTTAATTTCCTGCTCAAGTGCTCCATCTTGGACGTAAAACGCAACATGTGATAGAGAATAAATATTTGTTGGAAGTTATTTTCCACAGCGCACATCTCCATGGTGCGGCCTGTACCTTACGCGTGCGCTCAAAACGAGTGTCTTTAAATGTGTCTCAGCTATTTAATTCACAACAATGACCAAAACAGAATTTCTCCTCAAAATAATTAATACAATATCAAGCAGACAAGTGATGAGATCATAGGAAAGTATCAATCAGAGATTATTAGTTGATCCGATACCAAACTCTCCGGGCAAACATCACAAGAATCGTGTGGCACATGGTAAGAAGAATAACTATTGGTGAGAGCTACTGCTTCATGCGGTAAAACAGGGGGGTGGGGTGGTTAATGTGTCAACTAAAACAAATTGTCAAATCTCTTTTTTATTTTATAATCTTGTGAAAATGAAATGAAGGTGGTGTTCGTTGCCCAACGACTGTCACGCCATCACGCAACCTTTTCTAACAATGATGTTGTCTGACATATTTCTTACGACTTGCATAACGAGGCGAGCAAGTAGGTAAAATCTGCTGCGGAAAGGTGATGTTTCTCGCAAGCAGCTACTTATTTTGTTAAATATATATTGTAAATTTATTTTTATACATTATTTTTGAGATACAAAAAATAATAATAAATCTTGTTCGTTCAAATGCTCACGGGGTTTTTAAATGCAAAAGGAGTAGGATTTCTCACTTTATGTTATTGTTATTATTATTGTTATTATTATTATTATTCTTATTATTATTATTATTATTATTACCTTTTTCAATGCACTTTTAAACCTTGATGGGGTCCAAATATCCCGGATTCCCTCTTTAATAAAAAAACTTCGTCCTAAGCATTTTAACTTTTCAGCCTTATCAAGCCTCTCTTTTCCCGTCTCCCCTCCCCTAACCTAACGATATTTTCTAAACCTTCAAAACTCTCGTCCCATTCCTCACATGCATGTTTTCCTCCGCTTAAACGTTTTCGCCACCAGGGACTTTCCCCCAGTCCTACCTTTTCATGCCCTCCGACGGATTTTTTTTCGTGGAGAAGAAGAATATCTGCCATGAAAAGAATGAAAATTCAGTGGAGGATGCGCAATATTTTGACGTGGTTTGTGCTCAAGATCTAGATCTCAATCGAGTTAACCTAACGGAAGTAATCGATTCCGAAAGGGAATCAGGAAAAGGGACAAAAAATCTTAGCCAATGAGAACTCTGGTTAGAAACAGGCATGCTAATTTGGCATCATGAATCCGTTTTCGCAATTAATCCGCTATATATTAATCTCAATCTAAACGAAGCAAAATATTTTCTCCCACACGAGGGTATTTTATTATACCTCACCTTTCCACATGACTACATTTTCATTTGAAAACTTACGAATTCCTAATTCTTGTCGAGGTTAAGAGCCCGGAAATAATAACGATCCGTTTGTGACGCTTTCTTCATTACCGTTTTTAAATCCCTCCGTTTTTACCTGATCACACAAGAAACGCAACACTTGAGGAACGATACGTTGTCAAAACATTCCACTTTTCTGACACAAGGTTACCAACACAGGCTGAGGCCGGGAAAATAATTTAAAATATTTTCAATCCACTCGAAATGGCATTCCAGTTTTTAATTAAAGACGTTTAATAAATCTTACATGCGCCTGCACGGGCGAGACGTGGAGCATGCATCACGTGCGCGCTAACCCCTTCGGTGCCCTCAATGATCGACACAACTACAAGGAAGGCCCTCCTGACGAAAAGTTTCTGACTTATTGAAAAACCTTCCATAAAACTTCCCTAATAGTCCTTTTTACAGTTGTGGGCTTGGTGGTCAAGCCTTTGAACAGGAGTGAGGCAAAGGGTGACCTTGTTATGATAGAGATGTTGCTGCTTTTCAAATGCAAATTTCTTTGTTATCATGCTAACTAGATACAGGTCTCTATCACAACAGGGTCACCCTTAGCCTCACTCCTGTTCAAAGGCTTGGCCACCAAGCCCACAACTGTAAAAGGAACTATTGCTGACAGACGATTTGTTTTCAAAATCCGTCAATAATATGATAGCCGGAACCGGATTCAGTTCTCTAGACACCTTAATTAAGCCTGAAAAACTTGATAATGACAAACGAAACGTTGATATCAAATCTTTAACTTTTTTTTCGCTAGCATAACCAAAAGCTAAATTTGCATTATTTTTTTTTTATGGAGGCGTTACACAGCCAAAAGTATTTGTAGAAGACTTTGCTAGTGTCATTAATTGCATAAACCGTAAATCAAACAATGCCCTGTTCTCGAGGTAGAAATTGTGCAGTATGGTGAGCATTTCTCCGACCTTCTATTTTCCACGCCTACTGATTTCCAGGGTTTGCTTTGCGAGCCGATGAAGCTCCGAAAATTTCGTGCATCTTGAAAATTTCCAATCCGTGCCAATCACGGTATTAATACTACTGATAGGGCGTAAATGAATCTTTTTCTATTTAAACACATCTTTGTATTTTCAAGTCTTCCTACTCAACTATCTTGGTTTCCGGAGACAAGCTGTAGCCGAGGAAGCTGAAGCTTGAAGTTATGGCACCAATTTTTTAGCGTGGTGAGTTAATCGAAAGTCGGAGGCGTTGAGTTATTAATGTTATGTGCCCACCTTTCCCAAGGATTTTCGGCTTTCTAAACCGGTTGGAAATACCGCTTCCCACATTTTTCTGTGCCGTATAATAAGCCAAAATATGGTAAAACGTTAATTATTGAAAAACGTTCACAATTTTCACCTAATTATGAGAGATTTGTGGTGGTTGGTTTACCAAGGGAATCTCCTATACAGAGAGCTCACAAGCGTACACAATTTTAGACTACTCCTCAATAAAGGGAGAATCGTTCGTGTCCACATTTCCTTACGTATGCGAAGATATGTTAGGGAAAGGAACCTGACCTCACTAAGAGAAAATAATGGAACTTTATTTTTTTTTTTTTTGGCCCCACTTCAACGCGAACGGACTAGTGTGTATTAGGGAAAGCGGAGACGGGTTTTTTTAGCCGTTTCGTACAAGAATAAACGTTAACCTTTTTAGTTCAACCACAAAATGGGGTAATTTTCTATTGAAACTGTGATGCTACGTTGGTGAGGGGAGCAATACAAGACAGTTTGGTTTTATTAACTGCGTTGGTCATGTAAATTAGCCACCGTAAGGAGTTTCTAAGCTGACGTTTCAAGCGTTAGTCCTTCGTCAGAACCAATTAAGGAATTTTGATTTGTTAGTGGAGTATATACAGAACGATGGAGCTATGCTTTGTCCAATCAGCTAATAAAGTTATTGAAAAAATAAATGTTTACCCATAAAGCCATGGGTAAACGCACAACGGAAACATTTCTTCTTGGTCTCGACTCCCCTACAGAACTTTCTTCCAAACATGCCGAGGCGAGAGAAACTAAGGGAGGCCAAACATAAAAGTTCTGAAAAAAACCCTTTCCTAGCTACAATTGTTCAAAAATCTTTAATGAAAATACTTCTATCACTGACATCCGTTTGTTTCTAAAAGGATTTCATAAAAACCTGAGGCGTACATTTTAGGCACCAATAAGACGACCGTGACCGTGTCCTTAGGAATTTATCATCATCTAGTTCGTACTTTTCGTCGTCTGATTTTGTCAACCACCTGTTTACAGATCGAATACGCCATTACAATCTGAATAACCTAAGCCTCTTTTTCAAAGCGAGGCCTGGGTCTCAACCATTCGTACGAAAATGAGTTTTTTAGAAATGAGCCATTGGAGTCCACTCAGTCCCATTATCATTACATATTCACTCATTGTCTTTCTTACCCTTTTTCGTCAAAACATGCTAATGTTTCCCAGAATATCACTAAGAACTCTTTCGTTATATTACTTCCTTAAAAGACTCTACTGACTAACATGTAACATTTTCTAACCCTAACCCTTACCCTAAGCAATAGTTCTTATCGGAGATTTACACGCCACTCCGACAATCCAGCGGTATTCCGATGACTGTAGGATCAAAACCGAGGCTATCGGGTCAAGCTACAGAGTGAATCGTAACGAAATTTGCTAATAAATCTTTGGCGCTCAGAACGTTTTCATTTGTATCTTCATCACGTAAAGTATTTTCTTGCTTTTCCAACCATGTTCAAACATTGTATAGCTTTTGGATCTACGAACAGGAGTTCAAAACATGAATGAAAGGAATTATCTTAGCATTCGCTACCTTTGTTAGACAAGAGGTTGCTAGCTGAATGGCTCGTCAAGATACGCAGAGGAAACTGTCCAGTTACCAAACATTCTTACATTTGTAGCCAGCATTTTGAGCCAGCTTGCTTTATCAAGCCACTTGGTGGACAGAGAATTCGTCTGAAGCCGGGATCTGTGCCATCAAGGTTCACGATTTCAGTTAAAAAATCAGAGAGAAAGAAGCCTTGTTACCGAGGAAAACAAACGGCAACTACTGTAAAATTAAAAACAAACAAGACTGCGACGACTGCAGCAAAATTCGCTCTCGAAGTTTTTGACTCGACCCTCCAAAATAATGAAGCTAGTCCTGTTGTAGAGAGTGGGGAGACTGGAAATGCTTTTGTAAGCGGAGAATTTGTCGAAAATGAAAATGACAAGCTTGCACGAGAACTTAGGTCAAAGGAGGAGAAACTCTCAAACGCAATGAAGGAATGGCAAGAAAAAGAGTTAGAACTGACAAATAAAATCAAGGAGTTAGAGAAACAGCTGGAGTTGGAGAGAAATGTGAGGAAGGAGCTGGAAATACTAAATTCTCAAAAAACATTTAGTATTGAAACTGTAAAGAGCTATGACGAACTGGTCAAATTTTACACTGGTTCAGTTTTGAGAACTAGCAGATGTTTTCTATGGTTCTTGATTTTCTGGGGGGAGAAACAGCCTCTCATTTGGACTACAGGAACTTGGAAAAATTGTCTCCAGACACATCCAAACACTACAAATACAAATCGAAGAACTGTATCTGTGGAGGATGAATTAATATTTTTTATGGTGTTATGTCGTTTAAGAGTTGGCATGCTTGATGAGGATCTAGCGTTAAGATTTCAAATATGTCAGAGGCTTTTGGTGTCTCCCGACCCAAGCCCTTGGAAGCTCTGGTTCCCACAAGTCTACTGAGAACTTAGAAAAAGGGCCCCAGTCCTTCTGGTAGGCTCGATTTCCATCGTTTCTCTGATACGGTCTTCGATCCTCCCGAGAAGGAACTTCTGGGTAAGTACGCGGGGAAGTAAGCAGGAAGTACACAGGAAGTACGCAGAAAGTACGCAGAGAGGATTGGAAGTGGTTACAAAACAATGAAAAATGAAATACTATTTGAAGTTATCTTGAAAGAGAGAGCAGAACAACTTATGTTAACGAACGTTGGGATCCATTGATCTTCATTACTTTGCCAATCTTTGTTTAGTGATCCAAGATCCAAGTCTTTTTCACGATTGTTTCATATCACTGACCCCATATACTTCGTTATCAGCCCATCACTATATTCGAAGTGGCGATCGCACCGAAACCGAAAGAGATAACGTTCCAATGAGGTGTGTAAAGGATGACAAAGAAACCGGATTTTTTTTCAGCATCAGGCAAGAGGCACACAATAACGCACATAATTAATATATAATAATTCTTGAGATGAATAAGATTTCTTCGTCATTGCCTTTCTAATAACTGATATGACGAGATCGTTAAAAATTTCCATTTTCAAGTCGATGCGTTTATAATAATTATAACTTGGTCAAAAAGTAGGATATCCGGGACTGTTTGTACAACGCCCTAGACCGAAGCGCATGAATATCTATCTTATACGTGAAAGTTTCAAAGAAACAGTGTTTTTGCTCGTTTGGCCAAGAAAATCCTTTCTGAATATCAAAGGCTAATGAGTCTTGTGTGAAATTAACCCAATGTGACAACATAATTGTCCCAGAGATTTCTTGTTTATAATATTGAAGAAATTGAAGGGCTCGCATTGATAGCTGGGGTTCTTAATACCATTGTTGATTGGAGAAATACTGTTCCAACAATAATAGGTCGAAATCTTTATTCACAGATCAACACAAAGCAGGTTATTTAAGGCTGATATTGTAAGCAAGATTACAGAGATTTTCCTTTGCACAATTTTTTAGCTAATATACCACTCAAACTAGCTATTTGGTTTTTTTTTTTTTCTTGGAAATTTACCTTATTAAGAAAGCTACCTCGTCATTAGTTTTTGTAGGTTTTGTTGAAATAAAAAAGTAAATTAAAAAAACTGGCTTAGTCATTGTTAATTTCCAAGAGAAATCTTCCATATTCAGTCGAGTTAACGTTGTAGGCAAGGGAGGGGAGCCTTATTGTCGTTCACAGACAAATTGCAAGTAAATTGGCTTTCGCCTCTCCTTTTCTTCTCCGACAAGCTAAGGTTGATTCATCTCCTCCATTTTGGAAGAAGTCAAAGTTTTTACTCTATTGAACATATTTCTTGAACTGGTATATAAACCGGGCTCACATCGGCAAAAGCACACAATCGTTTAGAAATTTTGCGTAAGCTAGGCAGTTCAAACTGATGCAAATTGAAACGGTGATCTCAAGCATGAAGACAAACATTATAGTCGATTGAATTTGTCAGAGGGTTGGTTTCCCTCCCAATTAACTCACCCGACTCAAATGTGTGTGTTCGGCCGCCGAAGACGCTGAAAACCTGTGATGTAAGGTGTAGACTTGAGGCTATAAGGGGCGCTTGGATATGCTCGGGAAATCGAGATTAGTGCATAATGAATCAACCTAACAGGCAAAATCAATCACAACCCCACAGAAATTTCGTTGCGCGTTCTACTTGCACTCGGAGTAAGAGAATTATAACAAGTCGGTATAAGTTGTTCATAGCACCGTAAACGATCAAGAGAATTGTTCCTCAAATTTTGTCAGCCAAGTCATGATTTAATCCTGATTCTACGCTCGGTACAGAAGCTAGCTGCAAGCTAACCAAACAGCTTGAGCAATTAAAGCGATCGAGAAATCATGTTACCAAATTAAAATAGCTCGCTGTCAACCTAACCCTCACAGTATTTCTTTATGTATATGCTTACCTATTTTGAAGAGGTTTTCGAGCTAGTTTCTCAAAGGAATGTCTCGAAGACCTTTCATGAGTTTACGAAAGTAATTAATTATTGTTTTTATCTTATTATCTAGAAACACGAACGTCTGACGTGCTTGAGTTTGAAGCTTACTACGTGCTTGTTTTAAATTAGCAGGTGGTTACTCAAGCGGAAAATAATGAAAAGTATGGAACTGGGGTATGTGGACGAGGGAGTGAGCAATGGAGAGAAGGGAGATAAGTTCAGATTGTAAAATGACGAACAAGTCGGACGAACTTCTTTCGTTATCATCAATTTAATCCGCTGCTTTCATTTGTAAAAAAAAACGCTGATGTCGACAAATATTGTTGAAGGAAATGTCCGTTTATAGTCGGCTTTCTGAGCGATGAGGCGTCAGATTGATACCTGGTTAATGTACATCTTAAAAATACTTGTTGCAACCTGCGATAATAGTCTTCCTGTAAAGATTCAACGTTGTAGGCAACCTCAGAGGGAGAACATAGCGCATCAGGGCTTGAGGGACCCAGCCCTTATAATTGTTATGCCTCAACGCGAACACTTTACACGCCCCGGTGGGATCTTTATCATCAGGAACAAGGATGGTGAAGTTTCCTCCATTTGTTGCCCTTACGCATCCATCCTCGCCAACTGGTTTTGACTCGTCCCAAGCAGGTATGTCAAGGATCATCTTTGCCTCTTTCCCGTACCAGTCAACGTTTTGGTCGGGGGGATTGTACGCGACAAAACTGCGGTCCCACAGCGGAAATGGCGTAAGGACTTTTATATAAATGACGTGGCTTCCGTCGGAATAACTTTTTAAGACCTCTGGATCAGCAAAAGCTTCGTCCCACCTTTTGCGGATTTCTATGTTGGATGGACTCAATGCCTTTACGACTTTATCCACCGGAACCGGTAGCTCCCACATCATGAGAATTTTTATCTTTATTTCTTCCTCTGGGAAGACTTTCATCCAATAGGCTGCACCGGCACTTTTGTGTAGTTCTCTCCAACCACCTAAGAAATGACCCCAAAGCAAAGTCAACTATCTGTCAGGAAAAGTTAATGGGGGGAGGAGGGAGGGAGAAGGGGAAAGGGGGAGGGGGAAGGGAGGTGAGTCAAGGATCTCTCACATGCAAGTGACAGGAATGATCGTCGGAATTTGTTCGACAGTGAATTGGGCCTAGGTATAGTGCCCATCGCAACAAAGGGAAAAGACCCTGGGAACGAGGTTGTGCCCATCGAGGTCGTCAGTAAATAAGTAAGTAAGTCAACTTTATTTAAGGAGGATGTACACATAACGGCTTACGCTGACAAACCTGTGCCCCTCAAAACTAAGGATTAGTAAGTAATACGTGCAAATCTAGAATTAAAATTGGAACTAGCATAACAAAGTAATTATTAAAAACACTCTTTTGTGAAATGGTGTTTAGCCACTTTGAACTGGCGAGCGCTACTTAGACCTGGCAATTCGCCACCTCCAGTTCAAAGTGACGAACACCATTTCAAAGTGTATCTTTATAAAGCGTATCTTTATAAACAATTTTTTCTGCGCTATTTAGCGCTCCCTTCGAAAGCTCCCTTCTTTCACGCACTAACCTTTATCAAGATCTTCTTTGTACCACTTTGCTTTTTTTAACTCTTCTTCTTGCGAGACGTTTCTAAATTTTGGTGACTGCATCTTGAACGTTTGAAGTGGAAAATACTGTAGCACCGAATTAAATACACGGTTAGTCAGAGGTCAGTTTTAGATCCGCCTTTGTTTCTGAATACGTGTGACCGTAAACCGCCAGATATCCGTGACAAGAATTTGGCGGTCACGTTCGCTGTTTGCGGTCAACATTTAAACCTCAGTCTACGCAGTTTTAGGTTCTTCTTCCTGTCCGAAAGTTCTCACGAATGTCCTGTAAAAATATCCCGTTTGGGACGCTAGGAAACCAAATATTTGGCTACACTTGGTGTTTTGGTTTAATTCAAGATGGTGGTGCACATGTTGAATTTTTCAGGCGAAAGGCGACATCGATCTAAAAGCTAAAAAAACTCAAAACTTCTAACTGCTAAAACCTCAAACTGCTAACCGCATTTTGATGTTTGCGGTTAACATATCAGATGTGGATGTTTAAACAGCCCACGTATGACGTATGGTGCCTTCGAAAACGAAGCCAGGCGGAAAATGCAAAAAGTCACTTTTTCCGATGAAGATAGAAGAAGAGAATTTGAGTTAGATGGTGTGAGATACTTTTAAACTCCGTGAACTTACCTGAGACGCAAGCTTTATTTAGATTAAGACCTGGACTAAATTTATTCACAACCCGGATGTTGGCTGATATGTGATAAAAAGTATATTTTATGCACATGATTTTCCATCGTTTTTATTGCAAGCAATATATATCTTGTTTGGGAAGGAAATACTTGCTAAATATTTATATTATGTTATATTTCTCAGAATTTAGTCTGGAAAGCCTTTCTGCATAGTGTAATGTTCTTGCAATCTGAAATGTGTGATTGATAATCTGTCACGTAATTAATTCTAAAGTGCCCGTGAAATCAAAATTTTTGTACTTTTTTTTTTCGTGTTCAGCGTATCTCCTTCACCAATCTTGCCAAATTTCAATCTAGTTCGAGCACCAGAGGTATCTTTTGAGCTGTTAAATTCGCGATTTCGCGACCGCCATTACTTGAATGATGTTCCTGAAGTTGATCCCAAGGTTCAGAGGAAGTGATGTCAAAGGCTCAACTTGAAAATCTCACATGGAAAATGTCAAACATAACAGAGCTTTACTCTATTCTTTCGAAAACATATACAAAAATAAAGGGGAATAGTCCTTTTTACAGTTGTGGGCTTGGTGGCCAAGCCTTTGAACAGGAGTGAGGCTTAGGGTGACCTTACTATGATAGAGATGTTGCTGCTTTTCAAATGCAAATTACTTTGTTATCATGCTAACTAGATACAGGTCTCTATCACAACAGGGTCACCCTTAGCCTCACTCCTGTTACAACTGTAAAAGGGACTATTGATGTGTAACTCAAGGCTGTAGCAATCGTCCAAACCATGCTGGTGGTATTTCTCTGCATCGAAGCGGGAAAAACGGGTGCGATTTGTGCAAACTCGCCGGGCAAACTTCAATCCTGTAGGAACATTTGTGATCTGCTCCAAACACTTTTCGGAAGACTGTTTCGAGAGATCTGTGCAATTCGAAGGTTCTAGGCGAAGAATTCTTCCGGGTTCGGTGCCTACCGTTCAACTGAAAGGGACAAGAAAAACCGTTCTCAGTGCGATATCGACGAAACGAAAGTCTACGTGATTTGTCAACCGTTTACATGTGATCGCTGATCAATATCTGCCTTTAACAATTCTCTGGCAAAATACCTCACACAAAGGAAGGTATTCGGCGAACATTGTAAAAAAAAACGATGAAATAGCCGAATTAAGGGATGACACTTCTGACCTCGAAGCACTCACTTTTAAACAAATGTAAAGTCAGGCCAACTCTTGCGAGATTTTTTCACAGACGAATGCGTCTTCAATACAGTCACAGCCGGACAAAACAAAGAACCACTTCGGTTTCATATTAAACTTAATGCCACCAGTTCAGTCATTTATTGCCCTTCAGAACTACTTGGAAAATTGTCATAACACAACTTGCAGAGATTACTGCATCTAAGCCAAAACCTACAGTTGTAGAGTATTTTAAAGGATTGCTTTCGAGTATTTTTAGGTTTACCTTTTGTTTTGATGAGTCTCGCCTTTTTGCGTCTACGTGTTATTTTGGTAAATTTATAGTTTTGATCACTTATTCTTAGTGTGTGCTTGAACTTGGCTCAGTTCTTACCGTGCTAGACATTTTAATCGCCTGTTATGGTTGAGGATAATTAGTTTCATAGGTGGTCATGTTTGGGTTGGTGAAACTAACCTTGAGTTTTACCCACATTGAATATCCTGTTTTGGAAATTCCCACGGTCAGCTAACCCAAACATGTCTGTGATTTTTACATTAAATGCAAGGGCACTCCTTGCTGAAGTTGGAAGAGAAATAGCAGTGGTAGTAGAAGGTAGTAGCAACAATAGAAGAGTAGAGAATAAAGAAGAAAATTACAGAGTCTTAGTACCCCTTGTTAACTCGCCAAGCGAGTGATAAAAAACCCCTCAACACTACTTTGTAACGCAATGAGACCACGGCTCTAAAAAAAAAGTTGAAAAAAAAAACTCTGCTTTAAACTTCACAGAAGCAACTCAACAACAGTCATCATGAATGAGACAGAAAAAACAGAAGTGGCCAAATTGCAACTCGACAACAGAGTTCACTTCAAACCTCTCAAAGCACCGATGGTAAAAAAACACGTGGATAAAGGGTTCATTGAGATTATCGAACAAATACATCGGGGCAAATACATTGATGGCATGACTTAGAAATAGCTTTCACAAACTCCCAATATCTGCCTTGATACACGGTCAGCCATTGCCGAAACAATTTTTATATATCATCGGATCATCTCTTTTTTTTTTGTTACGAGCCTTCTACCAATGTAATTCAACTGGAAAATAAAAAGAAACGTCGTCAGTACCCTCGACACAAATACAATCAAAATCGTGTAATTGCTTGTCGATAAATTGAGACAATAATTCACTAGTGTATTGAAAACGCTGGCGAAAACTTTGGGAAATACAGGCTCATAAAAAAACTCGGCTTCAAGCATACCATATCTACCATTAGCCTTCTCTAAGACAGCGAATAGTTGTTAATTATCAACTAACGATTTCCTAGGACAAATAAACTTTCAGGGGAAATAACCAAGAACTTGAAAAAATTTAAGCAAGAACTGAAAGTGCAGCAAATTAAACGAGAAACAGGGGAAATTCACGCATGTACGTGCCCGTGCACATTACAACGATTTTATGATAGCCTTTACAGAAAAGAACGAGGCAAATATAGTTACCGGAATTGAACAATATCCGGTTCTGTAATACGACGCCGGGAAAATAATTGGGGAACATTCACCATTAATAAATTAGTACCGGATTATCGGGGGGAAGGGTGTGACGGATTTTGGGGGTTGGTCACATTACTTTCAAGGGGAACTTTGGGGGTCTTTCGTCGTTAACAGAGTGCAAAGGGAAGACTTCAGAAAATTTACTGCCAATTAACCGTCAATAGTGGGCCTCATAAGAATATTACAGGGCTTGATTCATCTTCACAAAACCAAAATCCTCTGTTCTTACATAGTTGTGACCATGCTTGTCCAGGGAAATGCTGATAGGTTGTCATAGCTATCAGTTAGTAATTCTCAATAATTCTGAGAAATATAGAACTAAATTAACTGAAATAAATACAAACTTGAAAATGATACACGAAAGAGAATTGGTAATCGAATGATGAAGTAATCATAAAAAAACAAAAACAAACATAACAAAAGCAAAAACAAAACAAAACAAAACGTAAGGAAGCAAAACAAAAGTAAACTTCATTTGAAAACTAAACCAAACAAAAGATGCACACTTTCATTCTTTATTTCATCACTTTTATTAGCAATTCTTAAAAAAAGTTTTTAAACAAATTCAGGGAAAATTCTCTTTAAAAAATGTCGTTGAAGTGGTCTATGCCATGGAAAGAAAATGGAACAATTCAACAGAAACAGAGAGACAAAACTGAGTAGCAACGAAAGGGAGTGAAAAGGTTACAGGGTAGCATGAAAAGAAAAGGAGCAAAAAATCAACTTACGGAAAAAAATGAGGAAACTAGTGAAGTAAAAAAATAAAAAGTAAAGAATAAAACACAGTCGAAGCTCCCCTAAGCGGCACCATATTCAGTGGTCACCCTGTTTTAAGCGGTCGTTTATCAAAGTCCCGATATTTTTTCCCTCTCGATCAATGTAATTTTTACCTCCATTTAGGGTTAACCTCTATTGAGTGGACGTGGTCACCTCTGAGTGAGTCACGGTCCCAATCTCCTCCCAACGTTAACGGCTGTGTTGTTTTTCATCTATATTAAACGGTCACTTAAAGAGGAGCCACTCCAATAAAATAAATATAAATAATATTTAAATAAAAAATATTATTAAATATATCCAATAAAACTATGAATAATATTTCAAGGAAAAAATAAAATTTACTAATTGACTGAGCGGGAGGACGTACGGAGCGAGCGTAGCGAGGTCCGTGACTCATGACCGAGAGGCAAATACTTTCTCGTCCAACCCAACCAAACTTAGTTGATAAGCATTTTATCATACGACCACGAAGTATCGAGAATTTCAACGAAAATAGGACGTGATAGACGGGCACGCACAAAAAAAGATTCTGAAATTAAAACTTTTCATTTATTTTTTCAAGTCAGAACAATAAACTGCCATTTCCTTGAAGAGCGCAACTTTTTTCTTCTAATCGGCAGTCTGTTTTCCTTTAAGATTTTGCATCAAAACGACGAGAGGGTAGCGCTGGCTCACGTAAACTCGTCCGGCCCTATACACGTCAGCTTTCGGTATGGTTTTCTATGGAATTGCGCTATCGGGGCCGCGCGGGTCATATGATAATCTATGTTGACTTTCTGCCCCGAAAACTCTAAATCTCAGCAGTATTTTGAGCGAGCTTTTGTACATCAAGTTGTCAATTATGATATAAAATGGCATTATTTATCGTCTTTTTTATTACTTGTACTCAATAGAACCTCTATTTAAGAGGTCAACCTGTATGTGTATTGATTTAAGCGGTCACCCCCACCATTTTCTGATAAAGGTAACGTTGGGTGTGATCGGGAAAATTCTATTTACCATACATAATACACTTTTACTGCTACAGAAGACCGCTGACTGCAACTAGCCATGAATTTTAAAAATGGTCGCTGTCCATCGCTGTTTGGTTGCTTTACACGGTACACTGCAGAACAAACCATAACAGACCTTCAGACCGATCTTCAAGCTTAGATGAGTATGAGGTAACCATGATGAAGTACTACGCGATGCGTTTCTACATCCAACCCGCCGCAGCTCTGTGAAATGACCTCCAATCCGTAACATGCACAGTTTCAAAATTCTAGGTAGTTTTGGAGTGTAGACACTCGATTCCCTGTTCAAATTTGTGTACAGGTCGCTAGAACACCAGATATTTTTCAACACATTACTTACGTTGTAGTAAAAATGAAGTTTACTAGAGGGAATGTTATAAGGATTTTTTTAATTTGTGTATAGGCCTCAATTGTGTTTATAGAGCTTGTAGGTATAAGTCACCATTTCCACTGAACTCATTCTTATCCGGCTGTAAGTGTTAGAAAAACCTACCACATTGTTTACTGATGCCAATGATGGATCCTTCGACTTTCCATTTTTTAACTCAAACCTCCATATGGAGGTCCAAATTCTAACACCCATTTTTTTTTTAGTGGACAACGCATTTGAAGGTTGCAACTGGAGGGCTCAAGATTTGGTTGGTCTCTCGAAAAAATATTCCAGTGGGGCCTGTGCCAAATGTTACTATCTTTGGGAAATAGGATCCTCCATTTTGCAGTAACTGAGGCAGCTCTATCTTAATCTTTGTGAACATTTTCATCTTTCCTCCCAATTTCTGCCAATTTTTCCCCTCAGAGGCCCTTTTCTTCAACTATTAAACAGTTTCCCATTCCTAATAAAATTGTTCTGTTTTTGATGTATAGGGATAAACAGAGAGATCTAGGTTTTTGTGATATGAAGCAAGCCACTGAGACACAAAATGTTAAAATATGCCAACAAAAATGTATATTATATTTATGTTAAGAATGCCTTTTTATGTAGCCTCAAAATTTTGAAAAAAGTCAGAGATATTTCCAAAAATGTATTATTTTGTGAGAGTGACAATTCTCACAAAATTTCACCAAAGCTCTTGACAAAATCACATCAATGAATTTGACCAAAACTTGCCAGAATCGTCAAATCCATGAACCTTTACTTGGTTTTAGGAAATTTTATCAAATCTGCTTGCATTTCTGGACACAAGTGACAAGTCACCAACTGGAAATTTGAGATAACAAGGAGGAATACTTTGTAATGTTAGAAGTAAGCAGCCAGGATGCTAAGGAAGAGGAAAAATGGGGACAACTAAAGTCACATTTTTTTTTAGGACATTTGTATGGATATCCTTCAGACTGTTCTCCACACATTTCTTAGGGTGTTAGATGGGAGAATTTGTTCAACAATTAAGGGCTTCTTTAGTTGTTGATCATTTTTCTTTATTCTCATGACCTAAATGTGTGACTCAGGGGTGATATTGTAAGGAGAAATTAGAAGCTAGTCAGTCTTAGGGATCCTAAAGTGAAGGTTAGAAGAACAAATTGAGTGGTCAACTCTTTCGCTCTCAAGACCTCATTAGTGATTCTCATTAATGTCTGCCACACAGTTCTTATAATGTTGGTTTGGAGAATTTGGTATTAGATCAACCTGAAATCCCCTCATTGATATTTTTCTTTATTCTCATCACTTGTCTGCTTGGTATTATATTGATATTGTAAGGAGAAATTCTGTCATGGTCACTTGTGGGAGTTAAAATGGGTCAACTCTGTCAAAGAGCCTTACTGAGTCATCTAAGTACCGTGGAACTTGTACTAAGCAGATCCCATCAGTAGCAGACATTATGCAGCCCCCAAGAATTTCCTCGATTATTTACATTGACAGTCAAAACTGTATTTAGTGGTCACTTCTGTCTTGTCAAACACTGACAAGAGTCCTTCAGGAGGGCACAAGTTTCACTGTACAAGCACAGCATATCACTAATATGGGAAATTTCAAAGAAAATCATGTGTATACATCTACCACATACTGCGTAATGAGTCAAAATTTGTCCAAAAAAAAAAGCTTTCATTTGAAGCAGTGACCAGTTAAGAAATTCTCTTTTCTGACAAACAGATAGGTAATGATAATTATGAAGATAAACAACTTTTAGTCTTTTCTTTGATCTAACAAAAATAAGGGAACCAAAGATAAAAACAGAAACAAAATGAAATGAAACAAAAAATGAAACGAAAGGGAGAAGGAATAGTCATCAGTTTCTAATATTAGCTCTGATTTTTTAATAAAGAATGAATTTATTTCTTTTCTTTTTCATAAAAAAATCATTCTTTGGACTCGAGTGTGTGAGAAGCAGGTGCCCTATGCTTCTGAATTTAATTTGTATCATTATTTTGTGGCTGATTTTGATATTAGCTGTTTTTCGCCATGATTCTGTTACAGAAAACAGTCTGATGTTATTAGTTGAATGCAGCTCCAAAGCTTTTAAACTTTTGATGAATGCTCTCTTTCTTTGTAGAAATGAAACCATCGAAGGAGCAATTCTCGAAGAGTGGAAGGGAAACCGAGCATGACAGAAACACTGACGTCATCATTAGATCATTTCAATCACGTGACAGTGCTATGGTTCGCAAGATCTTTACACAAAGCATGGGGGAAATGCGAGGACCCTTTGTTCGTGACGTCATGTACCAAGCTCTGCTTTATGGATTATGTTTGTTGTTTCCCGCAGTCCTTTTAAATTTCATATGGTCCGCTTGGTCTTTACCAATTTATCTCTTAGTTTTATTCGTTTTATTGGTTGCCTTGTTCGCAGGACTGCATATTGGGTTCTCAAGGTACATTCGAAGCTGCTTACAAAACGATCTAGACAATGTAAATAGTGTTTATTTAGGCCAGAAAGGGTCCCATATGTGGGTGGCTGAACTCAACGGTAAAATTATTGGCATGGTTGCTCTTGTTCCTGGAAGAGACCACGAAGATAGTTTCGGGAAGCATCGGGACGCCGTCGGTAGACTTCGGAGAATGGCTGTTTTGCCCGAGTTTCGTCGACTTGGTGTGGCTAAGAAATTATTGAAAGTACTTTTGAGTCACGCAAAGGAGATAGGATATAAACAAATTGTTCTTTTGACAACTAGCGCTCAGGAGGCGGCACTTAAATTTTACCCAAAGAATGGATTTTACTTGGTGTCAAAAAGGCTAGCTAACGTAGCCCTTAGAGGATTTTATCACTATGATTACTGTTACGATCTTGAAAGTCGAAGTAAAATCCATGCGAAGGTGCAGTAACTCCTTTGACTCTCATTTTTAAACTTTGTTGAACGAAGAAGAGGCATGGCTACCTTCCCATCTGTTTCCCGTGAAATTTTTAGAATTATATTGCGCGTACAAGTCTAAGTTCGAATAACTCTCCACCCTCCCCTTCGTCGCAATTTGCTCTCTCCCCTCTCTATTGCTTACACCAACGATCGATGTTGAGTTTCTAAAGCGGTGGAAAGACATCGATGTCCGATCACTCGGCAGTGTTATTACAGTTTTTGAATCTAAATCTATTTTTTAGTTTGCCTACCTGTTACTTGTAAAGCTTTAAATACTACTGACTGGTCATGATGATCTTACGGGATATTACGGGAATTTAGAAAAGATATGGCATCGTAATATCTTAAGTTACAGATCCCCTCAGTACAAAAATAACATCTTCGTGGCTTGCACAATATAGGTAGGTCAAAATATTAATTTCATTTGAATGTTATTTTTACGCTGCATGGTACAATCGACTCTCGCCTTGCGGACACCTCACTATTACGGACACCCCTCCATTGCAGACAAGAGCCAGTCCCCCGGGGAAACTCATAAAGGCACGGCTGTTTTGGGGTGGAAATTTAATTCGCGCATGCGGTCTACAAACATCGAGTTAATGATTACTTCTCTGTTTAATACCAAATTATGCTCTTTAGCGTCCATGACACCCCCTCGGGCTAAGATCTAGTTTAGCCAATGAAATATTGCTATATTTGTAATGTATGCGAATGACTGAAACAAACTCCCGTCATCCCGAATTCTCGCTATTTAGAAAATGTTGCCCCTCCCCTCACCCCCAGTGTGGCATTCCACTGGTGTTTTTTATTTAATTTTTTTGTTTTTTGTTTTGACTTTTTTTTCCACACTATGGAGGACACTTTACTGTTTCGCCCAAAATCTTGATAAAGAAAGTAAAATTACATTGAAGGAAAACAAAGAACCATTCTTGCCATTCTTAAATTGGGTACAAACATGACAATTTCATGCTTGCGGTCGGACCTTTTAAGATCCTGAGGTTACGTTAGAAACTATATGTACTTACACATCATTTCATATGTACTTACACATCATTTCATACGTTTTGAGACAAAACATTTTTTTTCTCTTGTACCCCGCTACAACGGATCGTCTCTCGCTATCATGAACATCAAATTCCCCCCGCCCAACCCCCCTTGAGTGTGTCCGGTAATAAAGTTTGTTTTTGTCTACTAGTAGATAACTGTCAGATCCCGCTTACAATGCTTACTTCATGTTTATACTTAGAAGAGTTATCTTTTCACCATATATGTAGGGTAGCTAAATTTTCAAAACGGCGTTTTGTTTTTGTTTTTGCGGCGTTGTAACTGAATACTGGTACTTTTAAAAATCTTTTTTTACTTATTACGTATAAGCTGTTGAAATGCCGAAGTCCAGAAATGTCAACTTTAAAATACACTGGTTTTAACATCTTTAAAAGGCATTAACAAAAATTAAAGCAGTAAATTAAGTAGATACTCACTGAAGATAAATATCAGCTTGGGCTCAGTGCCATCTTTAAAAAGAAAATACTGGCAGTTTCCATCTTTGTTTATGCAACGTGAGTTGGTGAGTTGTCGGTTTCAAAACTCTACCTCCAAACAGCTTTCAACAAGAAGATTACGCGCATTCCAAGAGACATAATATTTGTATTTATGCTGCATATTTTGGCTGAAATGTTATCCTGTATGACACGTTATCAATTACACAAAGGCCACTTACGCCAAAGAAACTTTGACAAGATTAGGTACGACGTTTGTTAAGGAGGAATTTTTTAGCCTTTTAGATGCCGAAATCTCTTGTTTAATCCCCGAGGTGCGATGCACAGAAAATATTACAACACTTCTCTCTGCTATGGGTTTATTTTCAACTTGTTGGTGGCGCTCTGCACGATAGCGTTTATGTGTTACTTTTTGTACCGCTTTGATACGAGACTGCTTTCACTCGAGAGACGCTTGTGGGACACACAACATGATAAGAGTGTCAGTGGCGCAGTTAGTCGGGAGAACCTGGCACTATTCAAGAAAGGAAACCGCAACAAGAGGAGACATTTTAATAGAAAAAATCTGGTGTACAGAACGTTTCAACACGGGATTCTGTCGGAGCATGATTTAGAAAAACGCAAGGGTAAATGATCGTTCGCCGACTTCATTACCAAAATACAGGCCATGTATTGCTACGTGCTGTTTGAACAGTTCAGCTTGGTACTTCACCGATCAATCACAGCCATATTTGTTTCGATTTCACCAGCTACTGAGTTATATTGCTATGAAAGTACGTTCAACTTTTGCGTTACTGTTGGAAAAAAGTGAGTGTAAACTCCACTAGAACAACACGATTTCGTTGCACGCGGTATTCTTCTACACTTTGTAAATAACCACTTAAGGATTATGAGATTTAATTTAACACTTCGTGATGTTGACATTTATTGTAAATTGCCATCTATTTAGATGTGTTGGAAATATTGTGTCATTTTATACACCTCGCGATTTTCCTAAAAACTGCAAAGCATAGTCTCATTGTTAATGGAAGCGTGCGTGACAACGATCTCAAATCTCCTATGATTCCAGCGCGCGCGGCTTGGCATATATCGTTAACACGCGTGAAGCCCACGCTCCGCACTCCCTGAACTCCCGGTCCTCCCAGGCCCTCTCCAAACTAACTCCCACTTCCCAAATATTTCGCTTCTGTAAATATATTTTTTATGTTTAAACAAATTGCAACTTTTAAACGAGGGTCCACTGACTTGGCGGTAAAACGGACTAAAAATTTAGCCGTTGGCGTAAAACTGACAAATTTTAACAAAACAAAACAAAACAAACTAACTGTAAAAAAATTTTTCTGATGACCAAACAAGAAGAGATTAACTGTTCGCCGTTAATTTGCCAAAATTTGAACTATAAGCCATCAAAGCCATCACCCCATTAAGACCCTTTTATTTGCAGTATCGACAGCACGAGCTAAATATGTTAGGGTTGCAAACTGACAAATTTTAACAAAACAAACAAGTATAAAAATTTTTTCCGGTGACCAAAATAAAGAGATAAACTGTTCGCTGTTAATTGGCCAAAATTTTTAACCATAAGCCATCAAAGCCATCAGCCCATTAACACCCTTTTACTTGCAGTATCGACAGTACGAGCTAAATAATGTTGGGGATGGTCTAAGACAACAATTCCTACATTGTTTATGGGATTATAAGCTTTGGAATGATGAGAAACCTGTGTGATCTTATGAAAAGATCTGGAAACTTAAGCTATTCGATGAATGGCTTAGAACACTGATTGATGTCTCAGGTGTGCTAAACGTTCATTGCGGGCTAGGTGACACTTTGAAATAGGCCGCTTGCAGTACTGGCGTCTCTGATCAGGGCGAGTTAAGGAGAAGCGCAGGATCGTTTATTATTCAACCTGCCATGTTAAATTGGGAGTTAGAGTCCACGGGAGTGTGGCGGGAAGGGGTACACCTGTTTTTAGGAGTTGTTCAACCTCATGAGGTGCCCCGCACTGTAAAAGCCAAAATAAATTGTTGATAGAATCTCAGTGGCAACATGCTTCCAAGCTTTCATTGCTTATTCATGTCATCATGTGACATTCTTCTGTCAGAAGAGTGTCGGGAAAAACACCTCGCAATGATCATACGCGACAACATCCGCCGCGCCTCGACTAACGCTGAAAAAGCTCCATACAATTCCTCATGATAAAGTTATAAGGAATTTTATGCAGCTCTCTGGGATACTTACAGTGCAAGCCCCGTGTGTCTTCTCATGAAGGATACGCGGTAGACCCTCGAGAGCCAGTTCTTTTGAAATTATTTTTTTGTATGCCAAACTAAGCATTATTACCTTAAGAGAAAAATGTAACCGTTTGTCTCACGACGTGGTCACTAGGGATGAGGATCGCGATCTGCTAGTCTTCTCCGGGTGATGAGTTCGATTGAATACATGCACCTCACCTCAATGCTGTTTTACTCAGCTATGATTGGATGGAAATCTACGGCTGTGATTGGTGCATCTTTTGGATCAGGCTCCTTATGTGGTCCGCTGCCGTGCGGCTCTCCTTCTGCTACGGTTTTTGATTGTCGGAATCCTGGGATTCCAATTCCGCTCTCCCTGTTGATCTTGTTGGGGAAAAGTCTATGAAAACTACCTCTTCCACCCTGCGTGTATAGAAATGGGGATTACAATTATTAAATTTAACTTCGTTCCAGAGCGGGCGGCGACCGGTGTCAGCAGTCACTAAGTTTTACCGTAGCGTGCTTGAGTCGTTTTTAGGTTTAAAAAAAAGGAAAAAGAGTCGAAATCAAAATTGCCGCTCGGCAGAATTTAACTAAAGGTCTGTCACGGTTAACCGTTAGATAGTTACCCGCAAAATATGTTATTCCTGAGAGTCTCCTGAGACTCTGCTAGACCCTTCTGTGTTTCTATTGGCGGTCGGCAGTTCGAGTTTTACAGAGTGTTGACATAACATGACATGTGGTCACCCAAGGGACGTCAATTGTTGTGAAAACTTTGGGCCGTATTCGGTTCACGGTTAGATCGAACTAAAACGAAAGAATTTTTGCCGAATAGTGTATTTCATAACCTTTTCAGATATGTGTAGTTCATGGTGGTTATGCTTCAAATAGAGCGTTAAAATTTTTTAGGTTTTTTCGGCTAATGGCACCCGCAAAGGTTTACCGTATCCTTAGGTTGCCGGGCCACAACCTTTTTTCAATTTCCGTCTGATGCTACTCTACGTCACCTGTTACTTACTCATGATCAGACAAGC